GAGGAAGAAAACAGAAGAGCAGAAGCAACAGTCATAAGGAGACAAGGGAGCTTGATAAAAAGCAAGGCTTTATGGACAGATACAGTACCTGCCCACACAAGCTGTGGCTAAGGGAACTGAAAAAAGAATGGATATCTGCCCGCATTTCGTGTATGCTGTTGTCTTATGCAATTATCAGCAAAGACTGGCTAATAACTATACATGTACATTTCTGCTGAGGAAGCAGAGTATGTTTTTAAACATATTTTAATTTATTTATAAACATCTCCTTATATACAGTATGTACAGAGAGAAATGAGGCCCAGAGTAACTTTTTGATACACGCTCAAATAATTTTAAACCTTTAAGTGACTGAAATGTACCTTTGAAATGCATGATCTTTTTCTGAAAGTAGGATTATATCCTTAGTTCTAGTGTGGTGAAATAATAGGACTGCATCAAATTGGTTAGCAAATAAAAATGATGCTTGATATTTCCTGAGAAACTTGAGCTTGTGAAGTTTGTGGTCAGATGGTTAATGCACACGAATTGATTGATTGTCTCATGGGATTAAATGATGCCATACCACTGAAAAGAAACCACAACTGGGTCTTTTAAAGAAACAACTTGTTATCTTAATTATGGAGTTACTTGGAACAAAACTGATTCCTCCTTTAATTTTGACAAGTGGTTTGCCTTTTCAGATCAGAATTGCTAATGTCAGAGAGAGAGAATATTTGTTTTTTTTCCCTCAAGGTTAAAATTTTGAGCATGTACAGTAATTCCTTCTTGCACGTGAGTTTTGGGGTCTTTTTTCGCCCTGTTAAAAACAGCAACGGAGGAACAAGATGGTCACTGCCAGCAAAGGTGGACTGAGGAGCCTGAGGGCTCCATCCAGTACACAGTCTGGTCAAGGCCTTTGGACTGCATAGCGAAACAGGAGCAGCATACCTTCACTGAGCTGTCAGAAAGGGAACAGGAAGAATTTATTACGCTGGCAGAGAGTAAGGCACGGCCAGAGTAACCAGGCATGGGGATAGCGAATAGGAACGATGGGGGAGAAAAGACACATCTTTACTCCAGAGAAAGTAATTGCCATCTCTATTTTTTCATGACTTCTTTATTATATGCTGAATACTATACCTGAACAGTACTTGAGTATAAGGATTTCAGTGTCCTCGGATTAAAAAAAAGAGTCATAAAACATTGATGCAGGTACAGATGGGAGAAAACCCTAAGCATGTACAAAACATGTATCATTAAATGCCCACCCCACCTCTTCTTTTTGAAAAGCCTCTCAACTGCCTATACTGAACCACACTATATTAGTACAGCAGCACGAAAAAAGTGTATTTTATTAAAAGGACAACATTAAGAGTCTATTAATTGTTAAACATGGTGCTTAAATTCAAACAACACCAAAAAAAATCGTAAAGAGCTTTAATCAACAAAATTTCCTAACAGATTGCTTCTGAACAGATCTCCAAATCATCAAGGCAGCCAACACCTGCTATCTCCCAGGTCCCAAGAGTCTAGGTTCAAGGACATGAGACTGCTGCCACAGCCTCTGTTATTCCAATTTCTGTATGGCAGACTCGGGAGAATTCCCTTCATTTTGTATCTCATTGCAGCATACTAAACCAGCTCGCACCATAGCCAGCAATAACAACAAATAGCAAGCAACAGGAAATAAACAAGCAGTTTAATAGCACTTGCAATCCAGCTGCTTCAGGTTAATCATTTCAGATACAATGGGTGCTGTTCAGCATGGATGACTTACCAAACGAATCAAACCTGTTTGAGCTATGGATCTGATTTATGTCGCCTGTTAAAGTGGTGACAGCTTTTCATCGTACTTCATAACATGTGCCAAACTGTAAAGTAATGCATCATCATTCTCCCATCTTACTGGGGGTGTGACACTACAGGTTCAATAAAGCACCTATCCTGGTGTAATAAGCCATTTTAATCTAGTCTCTTGAGTGACCGATGTGCCCATATCTTAATGGAGCTGTCTATTTGCTCCCAATACTAATTCTTCGAGTGGTATGATGTTCTATGCCAAAACCGCTGTTAATGCCAATAAAACATGATTGAGTGGAAGGTTAAACAAAGAAAGCATTGCAGTCTGAGTTTCTTTATCTTGGAATACAGCAAAAGCGATTACTGAATGTACATCTTCATACTGTGGCTGAGCAATAAATCAAAGTCAGCATCTAGAAATAAACCAACCACCCCCCCATTAAAAAGGCCATAAAGCAAATGTCATCACGGAGTAGTAGAAATCAATATTATTGATTGAACAATTACACCGATTTATTTTGCAATTTTTAATCCACCGGGACATCCTGGGAAGTGCTAATAGCTATGCACAAAAAGGAAGCCAATGTGATTACCACTCTTACTAACATTTGACATTATTACATCTACATTTGACCAAAATTTCAATTAATTTACCTAAACTAAAAATTGATACTCACATTTCAAATTATTTCTCTGCTTCCCTATGAATCTGACCTATGAATGTTGAAATGTGGATTGAACGCTTGAAGATTTAAGTATTCTTAGCTTGAAGTGAAATAACAGTCACTATACACATACCTTGACTCCAGGTTTATCCATTTAATCATGAGCCACTGTTGCAACTTACTTATGTTAAAGTCTTTAACATAATATTAAAATAAAACTTCATAGCAAATTTAGTATATTTTGAAAAATAAATGTAGTTATACTATCAGATATGGTAATCTCTCTTTAGAGCTATGTTCTAATTATTGCTAAAATAGCACGGCCATATTGCAGAAGACCTAAAGAGCACTGTATATAACTTGATTCAAAGTACATTCTCATTCAAGGTGAGATCTTTCAAATTTTCACAAAATACTGTTGTTAGTATTCATTTTAAATGATTAAACAGAAACAAACCGAAATGAATGTGTAAACTGGGAAACATTTCCTAAATCATATTAAAACACTGCATCGTACATCATATGATAGTATTACACTGTAAATAGAATAATTTCAGAATAATTTCATATATGTTCATATATAAGTTCATATATATTTAGAAAACAAGCTAATTAAATGACATTTCCATTAATGATAAGTTTATGACAGCCAAAGACATATATAAAGACAGTATATATGAATAAATGCAAAGCCGAACGTATCTTAAACTTAGCACTATTTTCTTCAGTTCTATGCTGTAATGCTTTTTTAAATGCAATGCCATGTTTTATTGCACCCAGGTCTACACTCATTTTAGCAATATTTAATATGACTAAGGCACTGGGCTTTGTGATGTCACAGTAAGAGGAAGTACAAAGGGCTCCAGGAATGCTGTGTTATTATTAGTCAGAGGAGAGAGAGAAGGAGAAGGAGGGAGACTGAGAGAAATGCAGCTATTCTCTCTGATCATTTCCTGCTCCATTTAGCAAGTGCACCAGCAAAATCACATTCTCCATCATGTAGTTAAAGATGCATTATCTCTTCATTACTCACAAAACATTATAGAACACCCACTGTACTACATTTACACTTGGTTCTCAAAAGATGCCATAGCATTATATATGGAATGTAGGCATTTACACGACAACAAAAATGCATTTCATTACAGAACCGGATTAATTGCTGCAATGCTTTTCTGCTCATATTTTATATATGCTTCAAATGTATAAATTATTAATATTTTTTTGGAGAAGCTTCCTTTCAGATCTCATGTCACTCCAAGCACTGATTAGCACACTACTGAATCTGCTTCATCTGCTTCATTGTAGCCCTATTTTTCCAGAAAACAAAAAAATAACAAAATAAAAAGGAACTGAAGCTCAGGCACTATAACAATATCTGCACATGCTACCTTTTGTGCCTTTTCAACCAAATATTTGTACTGCATCATTTCCTGAACAAGAACTGTATCATGTGCTTGTAATAAGCAAAGTATACATATCTTCTTTGCAGCATTTTGAATATTTTGCTTAAACTGTCCATATGACAAATAATTAATTTTAATTTTATTTGATGAAACCTTATTTAAATAGAGTAAAATGTCTACATTTCAACATTGGAAATACACAGATGAATAAACAATTATTTTTTGTTTGAAATATATACACTACTGTTTTACCTCAAAAGACAAACTGGACTTATAGCATTTTTTGTGAATTTGACAACACATCCTTAATGCATATCTACATAAGAGACCCTTTTTTTAAAAAAAAAAGTAAAACACAACTCCAGGTCAGAACATAACTGAATACAGACAATAACATGATTATTTTCTTAACAAAATATTTGATGATTTCATACAAGAAATTACACATTATACACAAAAAAGATTTTCACAGTACAGCATATTTCTTAAGATAAATGATTTCTCTATATTTTGAAATAAAAGCTTATGCTACAATTAAATCATGGGAAAACAAGTCTGACCCTCTGCCAATCATATCTTAAAGAATTTCTCTACATTAAACAACTCTACCTAGGGCAAAACACAATTTTAGCTTAAAAGTGCTGCCATCATTGCAGGCTTATGTAAACCAGTAAAAGAGTGCAACTCTGAAAGGAAACCTTTAAGCTTTTAGTGCCATTTTCAAGAAAGTCTCTTCTGCCAGAAGCAGCTATTCCTTTCTCTTTTGATTCCCAGAATCACTCTAATGAGTGACTGAGTCAACAGATCCTTGTAAAATCCTTGCATTCCAAAATTATTTAACACCATAAACATGTTTCACCAATTAAAACCACTTTTGAATGTTTCGACAACTTATTTTTTTGCCTTTTTAAAAAAAGTCGGTCTCATCAATTACTATCTTTGCAGTGTTACTTAAGATTTTTCACAAGTTCAACAGCCTCTGCCTGGGTGCTTAAACTGCAGGAACTTAAAATGACATCAGAAACAGGACCATTACATCTGAGACTGATACAACTGTTCAAGTTGGCTTATCTCAGTCTTCTGAAATCGTGCCCAAGGAATGCTGCATTAACAGCCCAGCCAAGCAGAAGCTAAACTCTTTCCTTACCTCAATGAGGAAGTCGCCTGTTCTGAGTCCAGCTTGCCATGCGACTCCTCCCTCATCCACTGACTCCAGATACTGCAGGGCAGGGAATGCTGGGGTGGGGGTGAACTCTTCAATGGGGGTATCGGCTTTTCAGCAGAGAGGGAGTAAGGAGAAAGCAAGGAATACAATATGAAGATTGCTTTGGTCTGCATTTTAATATGAATCCATATTGTAAGGGATATAACAAACTGCAAGTCAGAATATATAGTACAGCATGGCCTCAAATATTACATCATACGCTAAATGACTAACAGCAATCAAGAATTCCACTTTAGGAACAGCTATCCACTAATCATAGAAGGCCATTACTATGATTGGGGCCCCCACAGTAGCTACAAAGTACTTGAAGAAGAAATACTTTGGTGTTGTGAGGTTTTTATGGAAAAAAAAACGTTTCAGACTGGTTATTTGAAAAGTTCATTAATGAGCTTCTATTAACTGTACAGTATGTCATGCACTTCCTAATTGTTTTTCCTATTTCAGTGTGTTTGTTTGTCCTTCATCTTTCTTGCTTATACATATTTAAGAAGCATTGTATTTATTGATGCTGAGTTTATCATAAGAGATTCAAACCCCTGAAATGGTTTTGACTCTCTCTACCACAATGGACATATATATTTAGTTTTGTCCTCATGGTAGCCAGAAACCAGTGGTGACAAGTGACACATTCAATAAATCACCCTTTTATTTGCATGCATTTGAATTGCTGTCCAGATGAGCACAGACTGTCCTCAAAGAGTGTAGATCTCTTTCGTTATACAGCTGTACATAGTTCATACTTTACATTGTACTGGGACTTGATCTCTCAGGACTAGTGTTGGACTTCATCAGCCATCAGAGGTTTCTGCACAATATGGCCTAACTGTCTTTCCTGAGCCTTATTACATAAAATACATATAAATATTATATAAATAAGCCTATAGATATGCTTCCTTTTTAGAACTGTGTGAAAATGTTACTGGGCCAGCTTTGTAATTTGTTTTAAAAAAGCAAAATCTGGAAATTGTATATTTTTCCGGAAAAAAAAGATGTGAATAAATTACAGAAAGCAAAACCTTAAACTAAATACCTATGCACATACATAGGAGCATACCATGCTCATAGGAGCCTGTGAAAATAGGCAAAATGTAAAATGAGGTGTCCGTGTACTGTATGTTTGCAATCACTATTTGCCCAATCAACTTTAAAGCTCTTGCATGCTATTTTTAAATTCAGAATGGAAAACTGTCCCATAAAGAATAGCATTATCAAAATGCTCAATGTGCTTTCAATTCCTATTTTGCTTCATTACAAAGATGACAATAGAGGGGTATACAGTATGACAATACAGAGAGAAAAGAAAAATCTGATTATTTGTAATACCTCGAAGGGCAGAGGAAAAAAATGAGATTACATTAAACCATGTGCTAGTTACCCAACATAATCACCAGTAATTGCTATAGCAGATGATCATCCTAAATTACTGGACAGTATTTTTAAGGTTCCTATTGGCAGAATATACTGTATCTATTATGACTGATATGAAAGCTTATAGCAATGTCAGTAATAACAAACAGTAGGGTTTTGTTTAAGCATTTGCGCAATCATGATGGTACCTGGAATCTGGATAAGTAGAATACCGGAGCAATATTTAGTATTTTCAAAAGGGGAGGGAAAAATAGATCTGTTTAAGTGTTAATAGACTGTCGGGGCAAATTTTAGCTATTTTTCTAGAATCTGCCCAGATAAGCAAACAAACGAAAGGAAGCAATACACAGCAAAGCAGAAGAAGAGGAAGGGAGCATGGATTAAAAATTTGTTTTTGCAGCAGGCATTTCTCCTACCTTTGGCCCCTCGAAGCACAAATCCAAATCCCTCATTGTCCTTCTTTTGCAGAACCACTGTCTTCTCATCAATAATGCAGTCACTGTGAAGAAAATTCCGAGGATAGCGCCCGTTATTACACCCCATCATCCTCATCATTGCAGCAGCTGCTCTTCCCGAGTGGAGGTTCATCATTATCAGTGCCACCAATGAAGAAAATTAATCATTTATTCAAATGAACAAGATGACAACATCGGCACGGCCACTTCCAGAGAAAGCCCCCTCAGATGAGAACGAAGTTGTCTTCCAAGGAACAGAAAGAGGCCTCAGCCGGCAGGAGAATGTGACGTTGGAAAAAAACATAACAGCTAAATAAATAATTAATTGTCAAAAATAAAAAAAAAACAGCCTCACGGAAATATCAACAAAATAGGAAGCAGAATTAGAAAGCAACCGTGATGGCTATAAGGCCGAATGTGAATGTCTGAATGGATGTGAGCTCTCATGTCATCAGCAGACAAGCTGTAGGAGCCCAAGGAACGCAGGCTGCATGTGATTTGAATGACATTTTCATTAATATAATCCTCAACTGTGAGTGTACCAGATGCATTTTTCAAGTCAAGCGAAACCAAAACGAAAACAAAAGCCAGCGTTTCTTTTTTTTTTGTGTGTGGTGGTGGTTGTCTATCGTCTGTTAATTGCTGTCAAATGAACTCGCTGCTTCTGTATCCCCCTTGTAAGTCCGTTCCCCCAGCGAGAGCCACAGAAGGCAGAAAATCAGGAATGTGGTCAGAGAGCATAGAGGTTTCGCCTTTAAAAAAAAAAAAGAGAGAAAAAAAATCTCTTAAATCTCTTTCTCTCTCAACCCATTCAGTGCTGCACACTGCTAGGAGTCCACATGATCAGTTTGACAGCCCACACGGCTAATAGAAAACGGCTTGGCTTAGCGTCAGCAGGCATGCTCTCCTACAGCACCAAGAATTTACATAATACAATTAGGAGAAGAAAAATGTGTAGAAGAAATAACCAAGTATAAACTGAATTCGATCAGATGTTATAGATCTCCACTCCCATTTTCAGTGATCTGATGCTAAACATGTTTTTACATTTCTTAATGAATAAAAAAAGACTTATTTATTAATGCACTGACAATTAAGGAATTTACCACATACAAATGGAGCTCAGACCCCCCCTTGAAATGACTGAATGGGGACTACGTTTTAAAGAAAGAAATGTTTCCTGAATTGTTTGAGCTTTTTCTTTAAAAAAAACAGGGATACCTGGATTTACACTGCCTGTAATTTAATGCTGAATACAGAGTGCATAAACCACTTGGAAAAAAAATGCTGCGGTTATGATTCATTTCTCAAGTAAAAGTATACAAATTCCAAACTAATACATTTCTAGAAGAGTAGAATGTGGCATGAAAGAATTAAACAAAATTGTCTTTCATGAAACAGCATGAAAGCTAACATGAATTACAAATGAAACAATTATAGTAACACTACAGTGCCTGCACACATCATGACATCAGCATGTTGCCCTGTGCAAATAAAAATATCATGAGAAACATTGCTATATGCGGTGGGTGGGGACAGAGTTAGGGGGGTGCACACAGAAATTCACTGCATCGCAGTCATTTCACAAATCAGAATTCAACCAGTACCAGGGATTTAAAAATGATAGGAATTATGTTATCAAAAGAAGACCCTGTCAGTGTATAAACACAAAACAATCCTCCTTAGCCACAATACACATTAGTGTGTATAAGGTTTGGTTTAACTTACACATTTTTTTTTGTTTTGATTGTCTCCTGGGCTTCTAACAATAAAGCCTTTTTGGCTTTTTTATGTAAGTTGTTGTTTTTTATTAATTGTACTCAGATTTGGATCTCTGTGGCTAAATCTTTGTAAATAATTACTGTATAAACCAACACATTTTTGGATTCATTTTTTAAATTTTTCCATAAGAAATATGAAATCAGGGAGGTGAATCCCAGCAGTGCTAGCAACTGCGCCATGGAATGCTGAGTTGCCGTAGTAACATAATCTGTTTTTAAAGGAAGTCATCGTGTAGTTGGAGTGCAATAAGGTTATTAAAATCCTAAACTGGTGATGAACCGGGTCTGTGGTATTATTTTATCATTAAACACTAGTTCCTCAAAGGGATTAATTCGACCTCTACACCTTGTTTCTGGTGTAGGTTGTCGTTTTATCAAAGTGAAATGGCTCTCAAATGATCAAACAATAATTTGCTATTCATTAAAAGGGGAAGAAAAGGCCTAAACATTCCTCTAATTGTTTTTCAAAACCCTTGCCTACATTTGGCTTAACTGAAATGTTTTTGGTAGAAGAACACCTGTGTCATCAGGTTTAAATGTTTAGTTACATGAATGCATGTTTGAACAGAAACTTGCTCCAATGACTAAAGCTACTCCCTGCTTTTCTATGTGTGTTTTACTGCTTACCCGTCTGGAATGGAATGTCAACACTATTGTTCTGCAGTATGTTGTTCTCATTCAGAGGGTAATTGCTGTCCTTCTCCGAGAAAAAAAACTAGAATCACCCTGACATTTTTAAGACTCTCATTTTGAAAAGAGGCACAGTTGTAAGTTCATCCTACAGTTGTGTTCCACATCACAAAAATAGAAACAAAATTCTATCCTTGTGTATAGTTGTTAAGCATTCAGGTCTATGTACATAATTCATTATACAGTTTTAAGTGCCGACAGTATTTTAATGTTTTGAAGTAGAATATTTCAATATAAGTTTATGTTTTAATTTCACATGACTTTTTTTTATTCTTCTCATTGTTAGCAGGTATTTATGTTTGTTGGAAAGGCTAGTAGTTCACAACATTATGTTTTCACCAAAAACAAAATACTTCACACTAACTGCAAAGCACAATAACTTTTAACATAGATGCATTTTCATCTTGAAATTTCCAATTGTATCCAACACAAAGAAAAAAAAAGATATAGGGCTGTATTACCAGATCATTATGGAATTATTAAAATTGTAACACAAACTTTTTACAGTTACAGTACCTTTTAAAACCAGTGTCATATTAGATAATTCTATTAATACTATCAATAGTATATACTTCATTAATTCTTACAACTAGTATTTTCTTCATATTTTGACTACTTCAAATAATGGAAAACAATTTAATTACCATGTCTACTAACTCTACTAAACATTTAAACAGAAATTGTCTGATACATTTTCAGCACTAGACATACCAGTTGTTGACTGTTTCAAATACCAATTCAAACAATTAGCACAATGTTGAAATTGGGCAAAAAAACAATACTGGAAGTTAGATGTATATGACAATCAGTGAGTACCCTCACTGGGGTTGTAAAGTCATAAAAAATTGTCTCAGCTTGCTTAGCACGATAGTTGATTTTACAAAATTATGCAACGTGTGGATGAAATTCTATTATAAGATAATACACCACTATGAATAATCGTATATAATCCTCTTTTTTCGTTATCAGGGAACCATTTTTAACATGTATTATTCTCAAAACATTGCATAGAACTTCAAATAATTTCTTTGTGAACTTTCATTTTCTCATTATTCTAATACAGAATTTTAGCAAGAAATGTTTCACATATTTTAAAGAAATAGTGAATCCAACAAAATGGTTGTCATGGAAAATGACAGGTTAAAACTTCAGAATTGTTGCTTCAGAAAGATGCAAAAAAAGATGAAATGTTGCAAAAGTTGATCTAAAAAGTGATATCAGGAAATCCACCTCGTTAGTAAACTAGAACAAAATACATGATCCTAACATATTCAATACTTAAAAAGCTAGCTTCAGGAATACAGACACATGGGTACACTTTCACACTCAATAATGTACAGTGTTAAAGTGGAAAGGACATTTTTTAAGCTTCACTTATTTTTATCCTGCACAAACAAACATGCCATATCAAACATTTTGCATATTCCTCTCCATTATCTGACAAAATGTATCAAAAGTGATGAGTTCATATTCTACAGCTCATATCTTGCAATTATTATTTGCTAACATACCCATTTAAAAACAGTAAACTACAGTATCTTATGTTCATTATATTGTTATAAAACAATTACTGGCAAAATTTCCTGTGTACAAATGTAATAAATCTCTAGCTTTCAGTGTATTATAAAGGCACAAACATTACCAATATTAACTTTAACAGAAAAACAGGGAGATATAAATACAAACGTTTTTTTACATATCTGAGATATTTAATTCTAAAATCTCCTTCCTTGGTACCACGTAAAAGTTTAACGCAATAGGATACCTCCGTACAATGTACTTTGATTCATATTGATAATGATAGAAACAAATGCCAGAAAGCAAAAAACATACAGTATATACAAATTAATAACATTCACAATCAAGTTCAGTTCAGGCATAATTTTAACCTGATGATGAATACAGTGTTTTAAATGGCTGGTATTTTAACTGCTGTACTTGTCATAGTGCTTCAAAGTTCAATATACTTGTTACAAGACCATGTCATAAGAGCAAAAGAAGTTAAGTCCACAGCTATACCTTGAGTAAATGTATCTTCTTTTCTCATTGTGAGGGACGATTTTTACCATGATTCTCAAGACAAATTCTCCTGATCTCTAGATAGCTGAAAAGATGCTTGCCGAGGAATGAAGGATTGTGATAACACCTACACTGAGTTTAGCCAAGAAGATGAATGTCCTTCTTTTCCCATCTAAATCATGTCATGACACATTTGTGGCCAATAAAGCCCCATATAAAAACCATACTGCACTGGCACGGTAATTAATAGGTTTGAGTATAAGACCTTCACACACTGATTTACAACTAGTCAGAGTCAATAGGATGGCTATATAACAGTGTCAAATCGAGCAGGCCCTGTACGGTGTATTTCACACTGCTACCCTGGGAAAAGGACAGTCAATGAACATAACAGCTACTGTAGGTTCACCTTGACTCACTTAGCCTTTCAGAAAAATATCAACATAAGCAACAACAATTAATAAAGAGCATTACAATAAAAGGTTTTCATATTGTATCGTTTTATAAATTAGCTTATGATATTCCCTGGCATATGGGCCTGTCTGTGTTATGTAGCTGCAGACAAATATTAAGGTTACAAATACTTACCTTAAGTATTGCATTTGTTTGGGTGGGTTTAACAAAGATAGGGTTAAGAAAGCTATACAAAACTGTCTTTGCTTGAAAGTTGAAAACTAAGCTTCCATCTTATAATAGCACATCACATTTTTTTCAGAAGAACATATGACCTTGGCAGCTGTTCAGTCAAATAAAATGTAATTCTATAAAAGTCAAATGAATTCAAATAGCATTATGACTCTCCTATACACTAGGTATTCATAAATACATTTGAACTGGAGTTCCAATTTCAAACAGATTGCCTTTGCAGTACACAATGTTAAACATGTCTCTATTATCATCTCAAAAAACTGCCTGCTAACATTTCAAAAACAAATATACCAAACCTAGTCATTGCTGCGAGTCAGAATTTATGAGTAATGATTTGCATGCAAGAAGTAGCAGCAAAGCAGTGAGCTGTACTTCACACTTGCCAACAGACATGCACTCTTGAGCAGTTTGGACAGATTCCTAATTAATATAAACTGCTCAGGCCGACACTGAGCTTGATCAAATAGAATGTAATTGCCGAACATGGGTTTATATTTATAAATGTCCAGCACTAGTTACACTGTCCAAATGTTATTTTAATGTAATTTGTTACCAGTAGGCATCGGATCCATAAAACCGTAGCCCCTGTATTGTATAATTAGGAGCTTGTACCGTGATCAATCACAACAAAACAGTACATTCAAATGTAAGCTCGAACAGGACTCTTGACTACCGCACAGAAGAAACATCCAGCATATTTTGTCACGTATTCTATTAATTTTGAACACAAACCTTATTTATTTCCAAAACAACAACTGAATACACTGTGTGAAAATATAAATACTGATGATTTAATTTGCCTGCAGCAAACAAACAGAAACTGGGCTACATACAGTTCTTTATATTCCACAGTTTGCTTCTTTGTAACATCAAAACTGCAAAATTCATTCAATCCAAGTCCATGGTTTCATGAAACATCAGAAGACGATTTAGAGTTGCAGTATATTACCATATTATTTTGGAATTATTAAAATGGCAACACACGCAGCTTTTCTTAACTATAATGAATAACTACTAACTACTTTACCAACAGTATGTCAATCTTATGAGAGCTTGAACTAAAAAAATGTGTGCACAAAAGTAAAGGATGTAGAACATCTGAAATAGTTAAAAGATATCTAGATCATTGGTGTCTCCTCCAGACTCTCAGTCACAGAACAGGTTTCTTGAACTTGTACTGTAAAGGTACTGCCTCTCCTTTACAAACCATTCAAACTCATTTGGATTTTTTACAACTTTAGTAAGAAAGAGTAGAGAAAAGCTGGTCACCAACTCCACATGAGCACGGGGAAAACATGGCAGGAAATGGTTTTTGCTTTTGTATGTCACAATGCGGAATATTTTTGTAAGTCCTTTTTCAAAGTTAGATGAGGGGAGCATCTTCAAAGGTTTGTGTGAACTCCATAATGGCGCGAGAAGCAGTAGGAGGTGTTATTTTGGACGTCCAAGAGATAATTTGCTTAATATTTTGCCTGTTCTTTAAAGAAACGACGCTTTCCACTCCTGTCTTGAGAAACTTCAGCTGCCTTTTTTTCCATCCGTTTTCCCAACCTGGTGCACTTATCTGACCTTATTAAAATATGTTCTCATGTTTAAAACAAAATAATGACATAATTGCACAACTGGAATCAATTCTCTCCAAACTCTTTGCTTTGAGACCAGCAGCATGAAAACACAAATACAATAAGAGCATCCCCTTACCTTGATGCATCAAAGCTATCGTAAGATCCAACAGTATAGTGCCTAAAAAGCTTCTTTGTTCTGTCCGTTCTGGTTTCTGTGAAAAAATAAAGAAAAAAGTCAAATGAATATATGTTAGAAAAAAATCAATATAATAAACATAAAATATAACCCTACATTAAGTTTGTACCTAAATAATCTCTCGAGTAAGAGAGAGTATCCTCTTCTATAGCTGAAAAATTGAATGACACAAAATTGCTACATGTAGATCCCTGCAATTGTAATAATTGTGTACATTTTTGGAATGTGCAGAAATGCGTTTGGATTTTTCATACATTTACATGCATTCTTTCCAATTTATGACACAGAGCAAACTATTCTCCATGACACTCTTGCAATAATTGAGAGGAGCGATTTCCTTTGCTTAAGGGGATCAATTCCGTCCACGATGCCGATTTCAATGAGACAATAAGAAGCACCTTGTAATCAGAGCACTGCTTCAGCAGCTTCTACAAGCCACATGAGTCACACCTCACTATCGGGATACAGAAACTCCATTCAGTAATTTTATTCCTTCTCTTTCCTCTGACTCACTAACAAAAAAAGGAGAAGCTATACAGAGTTCTGATTTTCTTTACCATTTTCTTTACAATTTAAATTCTATTTAAGCTCATAAGGTAAAAAAAAAATCCACAATCTCCTTTTCCAATAAAGGCCCACCATACGCTATTTCAGGCTCAGATCCTAGAGGATAAGAGCCTTCTATTGCATCCAGTCACTGATTTTCATAATGAGTACTTTATCAAGACCTGTGGAAATCAACAATTGCATGGAGATTTTGATGTTTGCTAATCTGCTTCTCTGTCCTATTCTCATCTTTTCTTCCCATTGTGTGTGCACTACGTACATAATTGCATGGACATTTCTGTTCATTCACATCATGGAAAATTGCTAACACTGCGAAGTAGGTACAAAACAATTACAATTTCAGAACCAACTAATGTATAAATAAAAGACCCAAGCAGTGATTGCTCAAAACACAAACCTTGGTTTCACAGTTGTACTTTACACTGAAACAAACTTCAAATGATTTAAAAATAACTAAAGAGGAATGACGTCCTTTTTAGTCTTGGGAGAGCAGAGACCATCGCTCCTTTTCCATTTGTGCAAGCCGCTACTTAGTCTTAAAACACTGTACTGTATAGATTCATATGCCTTGTTTTCTATTGGGCACAAAGTATTAATGACTACAAAAAGGGTGTGAAAAAAATCATAGCAGGAGCTATATCACAAAACCCCCCTTTCAAGAAGAGCACATATCCAGTCTTTATTGTTATTTACTTACTGTAGTCAGTATGAACAAAAATTAACCACATTAAACAAAAGAATACATTCTAGCTCCTAGGTTTAACAGGTATAATAAAATTCTTCAAGAAATAAACGCTGTCAAATGTATGTCCGCTACATATAGCATGCGGTGCAAAAATATAACTGTTCTGTTGTCTTACTAACATTATACTAAGACTAAATATTTTTTTCCCAGTCAATCATCATCCCAGTCAATCATCAGGAAATCCACTTTTCTGTTGTTTTAACAGTTAAACTCAATCTCATGTAAAAAGAACTGAAACACTTTAGTTTTCCACTATGCTTCTCAATACTTTAAAGTGTAAAAAAATATAAAATCAAAATTTCCAATTATACTTTAAACCAAAGTTAGTGACACTAGAATGTATAAATCCTTCCACAGCATGCCCTCCGAAACCTTAATGACCTGTTGGCTCCCTACCAATGCACAATAATTACAAGCTTTTTGAGTGTTCAACTCATAATGGCTTTACAATGGAGAGTGTTTTAAAGCCCAGTACATCTGCAGTGATTGATCAACATTAATAGGATAAAAGTGCCTTCAAATGCAGGCCAGAATGAAGTCTAGGTTCAAGCAATACCACAGCAGCAAAAAAATATGTCTCAGCTGATAAAGCTGTTAATAAATCTAATTAACTGTCACCATCCTGTCTAACACTTTATAGTTGTACTGTACATGAGGATCTAAGTGAATCGATTTCCCTGACTATTGTGGCCTTTGACCCTTCTCAAAAGTAGAACTTGAATGTCGCTACTAAGACCTTTCTTAACAGCAGAATTTCAAAAGCCCGAGTAATAATAATATGACTACTACTACTTGCACCACACACTAATGCTGCCACTTCTGCTGACAAATGTACAGTAATAGTACTACTAGAACTCATATGAATATTAAAAGCAAGTTAAGGCATTCAGAAATTTTAGCTTCTGAGCATCTGCAGCCCTTAGGCTATGGGGGACCAAACAAAGTATTCTAGATAATTTTCTTTTCTAATTGAAGGGTTAACAAAACATAGATAAACACAGTAAACACACGTGTACATTAAATCCTGTGTGCAGCTAATGTTTAATGATGTTATCGTCAAAAAGCTGTGTAGGATTCAACAGTTTTACCTCCTGACCTAAATTAAATTTTTCATTGCTTTCAATGCGGTTGACACGCTACAATGGTTTCGTTTTGTCATGTTTTTCTATGAGATAATTTAAAAATTAAAATTCACACAAGATTCAGTTACATTTCTCTTTAAAATAAGATCTTATAATATCTTTATATAATTGAAAATTATAACCTACATGCGTGATTAGAACAAGTGCACGTGATAGCAAATAATAGTTTTTTTTTTTACAATTTAATCAAATTGCCGATTCTGTCATTCTGTCAAAATAATCAGTGCTCAAAAATGAGTGTCCTCACACTTTTTAGTTAAAGATCATGCAGTGTTGGTGCATACACAAAAAATGTTTTTCAGGATAAGGTAGTATAATGACGAGTAACAGCATATGTCAAATCATGTACAGTAAAAATTACAAGAACTAGAAGCCCTGTCATTAAGTGTTAGTGTGTAGTCTGATGATTAACATCAAGCTCATGCAAAACGTGTATAACAATAAATAAGGCTGAATTAACAGTTACAACTAAAACTTAATTAAAAAAATACCACATTCCTAACACAAATACAGTATGTTACAAGTCAATCAATTTACAACTCCAGCAATCAGTCAAAAAATCAGGCAATGAGAATTAAACTATTTTTAGGAGAGAGAAAAAGTAGACCATTATTCTAATAAAGCTTGCAGAGCTCAATGGGTTTTGCTATTACTGGAAACATCAGCTGAAAGCTATAGGGTTCACTATCCCCCATAGCAGCATGAAGCATTCATTTGCAGTTACAGTACACACTACAGCAAACACAGTAATTTAAGTATGCTAAACAAAACCCAGGGGAGACAAAATGTAGCATCAGAATCTTGTCTGTTTGTCCTGGATCAGTCTTGAGTACAAAAAGATGATATAAACACGTTATCCACATGGATTTTATCATGAACATTCAAAATAGCCTCTCCCTAAATAAAACTCATTAAATTTCTTTTAAGCTGGAGCTACATTCAGTTATCTCACATTACCTCCAAAGTGAACTTTCTTCCTTGATCTAGGAGTTTCTTCCATTTGCTCCCAATTTGCCTCCCAGGTAAGCCGTGAATTTCGGTTTCCAAGAAAGACAAGCGCCAGACTGAAGAACCTTTATGGTTCAGACCACCACACAGCCCAAACTGTGTGGAGAAAGTTTCAAGTATCCCAAAACCAGCACAAATGCATCCATATTCAGCAAGAACAGAAAACGGCAAAGCCCATGTACTGAGAAAAGCTATGTAGCCTCTGTTCGTACAGCTAGGGAAAAAAAAACTAAAAAAAAAAAACTATATCATGCCAAGGCCCACTCCATAGCAACAGAGTTGTACAGTGTAGAGAATGTTTCCATGGAAATGCTTCAATCAGGAATCTACATGAGTGGTGAAGTGGAGGGTGTCTCAAAACCCATTGCAATTACGCATGCCATTAGAAAATGAATGGGGAGGGGGACAGACTTTTCCCAAGCTTACTGAAGTATTAGATTTTTCTTAGTACATATCCTGCTTCAGGTGGCACTGCTTCTGAGTAAAAAACACATCACGTGTTGAAATAGAAACCACTACTTACTGGCGCCACTGATTTTTTTTTAGATGTGAGAAAATGTTGAAGAGGAGATGCAGAGCCAACAAAAGCCAACAGCTGAGAAGAAGAAGCAGCCTGAAGCCTTTGCATACATGCAAGCACGGATAAGGTGGGCACATGTCAAAACTGAAGAGAACCTGTGCTGTAGGCACTCTTAACAGTTTTCAAAGGCAAACAATAAAGCAGGAGCAAATATGATCTTTCCACATTGAAATACATCTGTGTATGAACACAGACTACAGAACAGAAAACAATCAGACTCTTTAAAATCTCAGCTCTAACAATTTTCATACAGAATGTTTCATACCATGCTTAAAAGCTGCTACATCTCTGTTCAGTACAATACTGAGAATAATGCAGCAATGAATTTTAATGAGTTAGACTTTTTTTAGTATCATCTTAAAGTACTGTAATTAAGGTCGAAGTGTAAGCAAGATCCTTTTGTTACAATTGTGCTCTTTAATACATTTCTAGCAACACGTAAAAAGGATATGAAAATGATCGTGCTTTCAGCATTCTTGAAGAACAGGGGCAAAGCTGTTCCAGATGTGTACTGAGAGCCGCATACTAGGTGATTTCCATATCTGTGCCAAATCGGTTCGTTGGGTCCGAGCTCGACCCGGTTGCCATGGTGCAAAGCACACCAGAGAGCACATGACTCCCATCCCCCACTGGGCAGAATACAGGTCCACTGCAGGAACTCCGCCCTGCAATGCCGGATACCATTCATACAATCTGGGGCAAACTGGGGTAAAGTACATCGCTTAAAGAAGAACAAGGTTCAAAGTCTGTAGCAGGGACTTTAAACCCATAACCCACAAAAATAACAGAGATCATTCACATAAGAGTTAAAAGTATTCTGTTATCTACAACAAATTTTAGCATAAACAAAACAAAAGTTGGCACTTTCAATTCTCTACCAATCGTGTTTAAGTACAAGTCTAGAAATATAAATTATTACTGAAACAAGGTACTTCACCATCACCATATTGATTAGATTATGAATAGATTAAGGC